CATAAAAGCTGCAGCTTTAATGAGTAAAAGGCACCCTGAGCCAGTGGGTCACTGTTGACACACAAACCAGCACCCCTACGGCTTTTTATTGTCCACCAGAACCAGGCTGTATGCCGTCTAAAACCAGCCTGCTCTGTGTCACTGGGTCACACAATCTTACCAGCTCACTTCTGTTAGTCAAAAGTCCTACCTTGATCCAAATTCTTCCTTTGTTTCACACACCTCCTTCATGCACAAGCAGACTATTCCCCCTGTGCAGAAAGATAGATGGGATGTTCCTGAACCACAGGTGCTTCTCCACTTGTGAGTCTCCTGCATTCATCTCTGCACAGCTCAGATCTGCACACACTTTTTAGGTGACTTCCACCACACCACACCTCAGGATGGATCTTAGGAATGAGAATATGTTGCAGAAACAAGACGAGAATCAGAACTTTATGAACAAGCATGCTCGATTTGAAGTTTGAACGCCACTAGATGGAGATATAGTTTCTTTCCTAACCTGACTCGGGACAGCAGGTGAAACAGCTCTGCTGTGCAAACTCCGCCATCTTGTGGCTGAAATACTGGAAAACCTGGACAAAAACAGGAAATCCTGCTGAATTCCCAATAAGTTGAAATTTGTGGTCATTTTAGGACAAAATTCCACTTATTTTAACAGTTTTCTAGACTTTAAACACTTCATGCTTTTGTGATTTTTTTTTCCGTCCGGTATTTGTTCCTGATCATCTTCAAGGAAAAAATTTAAACTCTCATCCATAATTCTTCATTCAAACTCATTTGTCTGCATTTATTTGGCTGAATCTATATTAAAAATCCACAGTACAGCATTGACACTAAGAGCTGAATTTAAAAACAATACAGCTTTCCTGAAAAAAGGCATAAGGAGAGTCTTGAAATCAGGTTTTGGGCAAAAACAATAGGAAATCTTTTATTTATTTATTTTGTCACAAAAAATTAAGCATGTCAAACTGAACAAATAATGAAATGTGTCTAAAAGGCATTTTTTGTCATCATAAATTATGATAATAATAAAAAATAATAAATAATGTTTTTATTATTTTTCATTTCTTCAAATAAAGCAAACATAAGTTATTATAACAAATAATGTATTTATTGTTCCAGTTAAAAATAAAATAGTGTATTATACTTGTAAATTTTAAAAATATTATTTGGGACATTTTCAGCATATTTACACTTTTAATTCCTTTAAATAAGAAGAGAAAAACTTTAAAATTAGTTTTTAAACCTTTTTTATATATCTTAAGCAACAATTACTTATTTGATTTACTTTTACATTCAAAATGTAGTTAGCTAATAGTTATCTTTCAGACCTATTAGTCATAATTATTTATATATATATATATATATATATATATATATATATATATATATATATATATATATATATTAATAGTATATATCCTTAATAGACTGATTTGCTTATTTAAATGACTTCAAATTATTAGAATCATCAACTCAAGTTTGTCTTTTTTATTAACCATCACCTGGAACCTAAATTAGTTCAAACAATCTAATAAATCTGAATTCATGTTTGGAACAAATCACCTCAGACCCCACTATATCAGTTGCAAATACGTCCATCGGGACAGAAAAGGACCGTCTAATGCGTGTTCTTCTATAAAAGAAAAACCTCCAATGACTGAATAAATACACATTATGAATTTCTTCTTTTAACATCTTGCAGATTATCACGGTCTTACACAACAAAAAGCACATTACTTTGAATTATTTTGAAACAACAGCAGTAAATGATGCAATCCAACATGTCACATTTTTGCTTTTTCCTCTTTCGTGAAAGGACTATGAGTTACACTTCTCCCTTGCATGCATGACATCTCCATGTGACTGATCACCTGGAATATTTTGGAGAATCTGTGATGTTGTAATGCATATTCATCACATGGAGGCTTAACAAGCTCAATGGCTAATGTTTCCCTCAGTTTCTAGATACTGATATGTTCGGCGGGAACATGTTGACTTGACTGATGGTTTCCTGTCGTGTGAGAGAGAAGCATGGAGGAGGAAAGTAAATAAATGTGTCTGTGGTCTCACCTGAATTCAGCAGGTTGGAACAGCCTGTCTGGTCACAACCTCAGGGACCACAATAACACCTCAGCTTTTGTTTTTTGTTCCTTTCTGCCTGCCACCTGCCTGTTTGGTTGCCTGTCAGTGTGTGATAAAAATGCATTTTGTTATGATAAAATCAGTTTGAGCATAGATTTTTTTTCATGTTACTGCTGAAAATGGAAAAGGCTGATGCTCGTTGCTTGTGTGAGCGTTTATCTGTTGCAAAGATCGATTTGCAGGAAATTCAAAGAATGCACACACATCTACAGCTGATCAACTTTTTTTAGTCAACCCACCACTAATCAGCCTTAGCAAACACAAACGTTGCTACAACTCAGTCAATATTAAACATATTGAGCACACACACACACACACACACACACACACACACACACACACACACACACACACACACACACACACACACACACACACACACACACGCACGCACGCACGCACGCACACACGCACGCACACACACACACACACACACACCAAGAAGTTTGTTTTCTGACTTTGTATTGACTTCCATTCATTTTAGTAACTGCATTTATGCCTAACCCTAACCAGTGTATTCCAAAGCCTAACCGTAACAAAACCTCAAATCACATCTTACCACTAAACCTCATTCATCCATCCATCCATTTTTTTCCGCTTATCCGGAGTCGGGTCGCGGGGCAGGAGCCTAAGTCGAGAGACCCAGACTTCCCTCTCCCCAGCCACTTGGGCCAGCCCTTCCGGGGGAATCCCAAGGCCTTCTCTGGCCAGGTGAGAGACATAGTCCCTCCACCGTGTCCTGGGTCTTCCTTTAGGCCTCCTCCCGGTTGGATGAGCCTGGAAAACCTCACCAGGGAGGCGTCCAGGAGGCATCCTGACCAGATGCCTAAACCTCACCCCTAAGCCTAAAACATGGGGTCCACCATATTAGGACCACGTTTTGGTCCCAATAAGGCCCATCGTTCTTCAGAAAATTAGTAAATATGGTCCTAAGTGGGATACTTCAACAAGTACACACACACACACACACACACACACACACACACACACACACACACACACACACACAGGTACATTTCATCATAATTATGGACAATACCATCTAATAGTCACCATTTCACTGTTCTTGTAGATTTCTATTCCTTTTCTCTTTCTTTTCCTTATTTTATGTCGACCCAACTGTCTTTTCTGTGAATTGGTTGTCTGTTTGTTGTGTACTGTTGTCCCTCCATTCCCCTACCTCCGTCTCTTTTCTCCTTGCCTGTCCGCTCCGGTGCGTAAGCAGATGCAATCTAACACGCCACAAACATATTAATGCTACTGAGCAACAAAAGGAATATCCGACATCGCTCTTGCTGAAGAGTAAAACTGCTCTGGCATGTTATGGCACCCAGGTCAACCATTCTGACTGCTTCAACCGCCAGGACAGGACAGGTATTAAAAAAAACATACTGAGCTGAAATTTGATTTGCAAGCAGCTGAGAGTCATTTGCATCACATGCTCTGATCGCTAACAGCTCACTCAAGATCTTGCAATTTTGCATGAGATTAGACAAGACATTGTTTTAAATATTCAACCAAAACGCAAAATAAGATCTCAAAGTTCTGGTATGATAGGAGGTGGATTCTTTGCATTGTTTTAGACAATGCTAAGCCCTAAAAAGTCTCTTAGAAAAGTTGTTTTTGCAATTGTAAACTGTTCTTTGAGACTCTATATAGCATATGCAGTTTTGTTGGGGCTCATGATGACATTGGAGCCCTTATAACTGGCTAAACACAACCCCATAATTAAGGCCTACCACAAAGAGACCCTGCTCACTCAGCCAGCACATGAGTATTAAAGGAGCTGCATGCTGGTGAAAGAACAGGAGTGTGGACAGTGAAATGAGCGAGTGATGAAGTGACAAGTACCACAAAGTATGAGTCTATCAGGTATTCATTCATAGTCTGAATATTCCCAGTGTATGCAAGAACGTGAGTAGTGCTTCAACGTTCTTCTTCGTTCCTCTTTTCCAACAGAAACGTAGCAGCTCCTGCTAGCATTAGCAGTTGTCCGAGCTAGCGTTAGCAGGGCTGCCAACTCTTACGCATTGAGTGTGAGACACATGCATCTCTTCACACGCTCTCATGCCACACCTGCGAGCTCGTGCTGAAGAATCACTCCCCCAACAGCCAATGCACAGAAGAACAATGATTTATGCGCACCACCGCTCTCGTGGACAACATGGGGGGGGGGGCGGCGGTGGTCCGCAACCCCACCTCCTCCTGCTCTCACACATGGAAATGTTCAAACGTTGGCAGCCCTGTGTTAGCAGTAGCGTAGTTTAGCATTGCTCTGCAGTTAGCATAACTGCAACCAATGTTTATACGTTGTTGACGCCGAAGTGGGCTGCAAAGTTAAGCTGTTCTCAGAATGAACCTTTTCTCTGTGGTCATTACAACATTGAAAGAAGGTCAGAGACAGCACAGACTTTAGGAATGCTACATTACACACCCCAAGCTACATCAACAACAACAAGGAAAATATGCTTTTAAATTTTGGGTTCCCTTTAAATATCAAAGTTTTACATTTTGAGGATAACAAAAAACTCCACCACACCAGTTTAAACATCCGGCTGTGAATATTTAGCATTTTCTCATTTTCATCAGATATTTATGCAGTTTTGCAAGATTTCATGAACAACTTTCATTCGAGAAAGAAAAGAGCTCATCATAAACCCAGCAAATTCTCATCATTTCTGTTTCAAACAGCAGTCTCCCTTCTGAACAGCGTTGTGTTGATTTGCATGCATTCACCTGTGGATGTAAGCATTAAAGCGTGCCACTTTTCCTCAAGTTGGCGAAACTGAAATCAACCTAAAGTTGCCCCAGTCTGTCTGCCGTTTGTCTGCGCTACAGCCGTTAAGAGGGGACGTGTGTGAAACCTCTCTCATGTCAGTTTAAATGAACCGCTGCCAGCCTTTACTCTGAAACTGCCAAGTCATAACCAGACAAACACTCAACAAGTAAGAGTGTCAGCAGGTAGCATGGCACAGACGGACGGCGGGAAGGACGTCTAGTCAGACTGAAAGCGTTGTGGACTGGAGCAGCCACAGTCGAGCGTATTTCCCACCACACGGAGTACGTTACATCAGTGAAAGCAGACGTTCTCTAAATTAAACTGTCAGTCTACATTCATTAAAATCTCATGTTTGAGTCAACCTTTTTCCTTCCTGTCAGTGTTTTGCTACTGAGGACAGGACAAAGGTGTAAGCCACGGCAAGTTTTTTTCTCTCTCTTTATTGGTTGTTTCAAACAGGAACATCAAAAGTTTTTCTTTTTATTTATTTATTCACTCTACAGTCGCACACGATGAAACAAATGTAAAAAAAAAGCACAGTATTTACATTTTTTACACTTTGTACAGAGATTCCTGAGGATTATTGTGACTGTGAGGGTGTGAATGAAAAGAGTCTTCAGAGAGTTTTTGCCTCCAGGGATGTAAACATGACCGTAGCAATTAATGCATGAGGAAGGAAATTTAAAACATGACTAGTAGGTTCAGGTCTCAGGTGTAGTATTATAGAAAATGGGCCGCTATATGGAAAGGGCAGGAGTAGTGTCAGTATCTGACATGACAGAGGGACGTTTGGGAATTGAGTGTATTTTACTGAACCCTCCTTTGCTCAGACCACCAGCGCACATCTTCACTATCCTCAGGAGGTCCTCTCTGAACCGAACTCCAATGAAGACGTACAAGAACGGGTTTAGGCAGGCGTGAGTGAAGGCCAAGCTCTTGGCAACCTGTCCGGCTACATCAAAACCAATCACAGTTGGGCAATCGGTGATGGTGGTGTTGGCCGCCTGTGTGGCCTCCACAATCAGCAGGGCATTGTGAGGCAGCTGGGAGAGCACAAACACAAACACCACGGCGAAGATGACGCGCAAAGCCTTGTGCTTTTCAAAGTTCTTGGCCTGAAGAAGAGTGCGAATGATGACTGAGTAACAGAAGATCATGACTAGCAGAGGAAAGCAGAAGCCCATGCAAATCTGCAGGGACAGGACCAGGATCTTTGTATGGTTAAAGGCATTGTTCCAGTAGACCAGCGTGCAGGAGGATTGCTGTTCCTGCTCCTCTTTCACCTGTGCAAAGATAAACTCAGGAAGGGCCAGCAGGGTGGAAACCAACCAGACACCAAGGCACGCAAGTTTGCTGTAGAACAACCTCTTTTTCTTTAAGTTCTGAGCCTTGGTCACTTGTACGATTGCGATGTAGCGGTCCACACTGATGCAAGTGAGCAGCAGCATGCTGCTGAAGAAGTTGATCTTATAGATGGCCGACACGGTTTTGCAAAGACTGACCCCAAAGTCCCAGCCCTTAGTGGCATCGACAGCCCAGAAGGGCAGCATGCACAGGAAGAGGAGGTCAGCCACAGCCAGGTTCAGCAGGTACACGTCGGTCATCGTTTTCAGGCGATTGCGGACTGTGGTGTATATCGTAACCACCATCAGGTTACCCACAGAGCCGAGGATGAAGATGATCCAATAGAGAGGCGGTTCGTACTGGCCACGAAACTCCCTGACCCAGCTTCTGTCGCACAGACCTGAGTCTTCAAGTGGTTCATAATCTGAGTAGTTAGGGTCCTGCAATGAAAACAAAAATATGTTAAAGAAGACGTGCAACAAGCTTTTCACCTGACATGAATTCTGTTGTATTTTCCTCCCTTTCCTCTTTTAGTACATCAACGTTTTTCGCAAGTTTCATGAGAACCTGCTTCTGGTGGGAATATCGTGAAGTGACATCAAACGTTGTCTGCCTGTGACGCACAAGCTAACCAGAGTGCTGTCAGGTGCAGCTGTTGTGTCTGTGTAGGAGAAACCGCACAACTGCACAGCTTCCTGCTGCGATCCAAGCTTGAGGGGGTGAAGGATCCTGAGGGGCTCCAGAAAGGGGCCCGCTGTAGAGCTCAGTACCCCAGCAGCACTACCTTTAGATGTAGGGCAGAGATAAATGAGGGGGGGGGGGCCTTTGGTTTTTACAAACAATGGAAAACTTGATGCTGATGCAGCTGAGACTCCAACTATGACATTTAAATGTTCTGCAGATGTCTTCTGTCAAATGAATGTCAAGTTTAAACCGGAGAAAGTATTTCTGCACATATTTTTATCTGCTTCACTGCGCTGAAACATCCATCCATCCATTTTCTGAACCTGCTTGTCCACGTAGGGTCACGAGGGCTGGTGCCTATCTCCAGCGGTCAATGGGCAATCAGGCGGGGTACACCCTGGACAGAGAGCCAGTCCATCGCAGGGCAACACAGAGACACACAGGACAAACAACCACACACACACACACACACACCTAAGGACAATGCAGACAGACCAATCAACCTAACAGTCATGTTTTTGGACTGTGGGAGGAAGCCGGAGTACCTGGAGAGAACCCACGCATGCACAGGGAGAACATGCAGACTCCATGCAGAAAGATCCCAGGCCGGGAAGCGAACCCAGGACCTTCTTGCTGCAAGGCAACAGCTCTAACCACTGCACCACTGAAACATTTTAAACTTAATTTTTCCTAATGAATCTTGTATTTTAGCCTTTTCACTCAATGAGAAAAATCAACTGTTTCTTTTTGCACGTACGTTGTCATCATTTTCAACACAACTAAAAATACTTTAAGAGTCATACTTACAGTTGTAAGAGAAGAAGTGGATAGGAAATAGGTAGATTCCTCCATTTGACCTAAAAAGAACCAGAGACTGATTAAATGAGACAACTAGCAATACATGAAAATGAAAACAAATCAGCACAAGCGTGAGTGAAATCTTACTTTAGAGAAGAGTTATTTACCTTGTTTGCAGGAATGTGAGAATGAGGAACCTTGCAGTGTGAGTGTGACTTCTTTGTCTGACTCCAACAGCTGTGAACTTTACTCATCTTCACTGGCTTATATGGTTTCCCTTTGACCAGAAAAAAAAAAAAAAGAAATCACGTGCTAACACATCGCCTCATCTAAGCCTGAAGAGAATAATAGCACATTTGTGGCTACTGGCTACTGTTAAAGCAGTCAAAGTTTGGAAAAGCAGCAAAAACGTGTTTGAACTGGACCTGTTTACCTCAGCTATGCTGCTGCTTCTATGAAAACATGAAATGACTTTCAGACATCCCTCTGTGAATCATGAGGCATCAGCTACGGGGTAACGCAGGTTTTCAACACATGAGTGAAGCACTTAACTTCACAGATGATTGACTTGTGAAACTAAAAACCAGGACGTGTGATTAAAGCCTTGAAATAGAGGTGAAGATGTTGTCATCTTCTGAGTTTCTCACTCCATACATCAGTAACGGCTCTAGGAAGGGGTACTTAGCACACCTTACCGGAAAATAAGAATTTAAGCATGATTTAGGGTTTATTTAATTGTTTTGTCGCTATAAAAACATTTGATGAATGCAATGTTGAAGTCAGTTTGGTAAGATTAGAAAAAGACTCTTAAAATAAAATCTTATTTAATTTATTATTGCTAATCTAAAAGTAATTACAAATTAAAAGTGGTTTGATTTGATTAGAATGATTGGTAACGCTTCCTTTTGCAGTCCCCTAATAACTAAGTACTTACATGGTAATTACATAGTAAGTTAAACTGTATTATTGTTTCTGATTTCTTAGTTATTACCATGTAACACAGGTTCAATTAGTTTTACTTTTATTAATCCTTCCCAGTAAATACTGTGTTACACAATAATTAAACTTTATTACAATTACACACTTTAATTATAATACACTTTAAATTACTATGTAATTACCAAGTACTTAATAAGTAATAAGTAGTAAGTACTTAGTAATTAGGGGACTGTAAAAGGAAGGGTTACTGAACTATTTTCCATTTCTAGAAGGATTTGTAAGTAAGTAAATTTTATTTATATAGCACTTATCACAGACATAGAATCACAAAGTGCTTCACATAGATCAAAACAAAATAAAACAAAGTCATGAAATCATAAATAGATTAACATCATAAAATCAAAATGATCTCAAAACAGAAATAGATTAACATCAGAAAAAATAAAGTCATAAATTAAAAAATTTCATAAACAGATGAAAGATTAAAAATATGAGTTAAAAATAAGAAAATAAAACATTTAGGTAAAAGCAGCTTTAAATAAAAGGGTCTTTAGCTGTTTTTTAAAAGTGTCCAGACTGTCAGTGCTGCGTAAGGATGAAGGAAGATCATTCCAGAGTCGGGGTGCAACAGTCTGGAAGGAGCAATCACCTCGACTTTTGTATCTGGTCTTTGGAACTTCTAGAAGGTTCTGGTGTGTGGACCTGAGGGCTCGGGTTGGAGCTTAAAGGCTTTAGCAGTTCAGTAATGTAGGGGAGGAGCTTGACCATGTAGAGCATTGAAAGTTGTAATCAGGATTCTAAAGTTAACGGGTAACCAGTGTAGCTCCTACTGTTGATGAAACATCAAGTGAAGGGTCCGCTTAAGCTCTCATCCTAGAGGGAGAGTTAACTGTATTAAAAATGGTATAATTTAATAATAGGAAAAGGTCATTATACATATTTCTCCAAAAGCAATGTCCTATGGTTTGAACTTATGGCCGAATCTAAAATTCACAAACACATGCTGTCACAGACCTTTGAGAGCTTTTCTGTGGAGGTTTGTTTGGTAATCTCAGTAATAAAGGGAAATAAATAACAGAATCACGTCATCAGGCTGACCACAACCGAATGAAAACAGCCTAAAAGAAAGTCCCTGTTTTACCAACAGTGTAGTGAAATCTGTTTCAAAAGATAAAACAAACAAATACAATAAAAGTTTGAGATGAAAGCTTTTCGTGTGATTTTTCTGACTGCAGATTGTTTTAGGACTGATTTGACACCCGTAAAAGGCCTGAGTAGGTTTGTACTCTCTCAGTTTCACTTCCCGACCTCACACTCTCTGTCGTGAGGATTAGATTCAACAGGATGAGAACGTGGGACATCACCTCTTCAGATTTCTACCAATTTCGGGTTGCGTTTCTCGGTTTTGATCTCAGTGATAGTCAAGGAAACGGCTGTGTCATGAACAGATCTCTGTTTACATTCTGGGAAAAGATCTGAACAATGAGAAGTTTAATTCACAGCCGACTGCTGATTTTCCAACGTGTGGGATTACAAACAACATTTAAAAAGCAGAATAACAAACTGAAAAACCTTCAAATGCAAGTTTCACCTGTAAAAAGAAGATTACAGAGTCATGTTTGGTCAGTCCTGAAGTCAGCTAACGTCTTAACGGCCTCGGGGGCTGCTTGTCTCTTTACTGCTCCCTGCTGGAAAATCCAGCAAAGACCAGCAGGGTTGGTTAACAGTTGTTTCAGGGTTGGTATGCTGGTCCAGCACACAATGCCGGTTCAGCATGGGATGCTGGACCGGCCTTTCAAGCTGGACCAGCATACTAGATTTTTTCCACCTGAGCTTCAGTGACCAATGCTCCCTGCATCCACAGCTCTTGTGCCAGATTATCTTCTAGCTTCAAGCAGAACTGACCACACTCAGTCACCCATTCACACACTGGTGATGATGAGCTACAGTGCAGCTACAGCTGCCCCAGGGTGCACTGATGCAGCATTCTCTGGAAGGAGCCGGGATCAAACCTGCAGCCTTCTGGTTGCTGGACAACCCACGGTACCTCCTGAGCTACTGTTGTCCCTTTTTCAAGTCTAGAAAAGTCAGGTTTTCTGTGCTTAATCAAGAATGCCAAGCCTTGCCAAGTCAGGCATGCTGTTTTGGAGACAAGTTAAGCTAAGAAAGCAAAGCCAAGCTAAGCTAAAGTTAAATCAAGCCAAGTCCTGTTAATCCAAGTCAGGTTGAGTTGAGCCCCATCACGCTAATCCATCCTGTTTTTCCTGCAATAAATAAACATTTATTAATTGCTCCATTCTGTGTGTCTGCTGAATCCTTCAGTCAAATGTCCAAAACTTAAAAAAACAAATTTGTTGTGACTTACACTTGTCAAAGCCATTTTTGGGTTGGTTGGCCATCTTGGATTGGATTGAATCTAATGGAAAATCAGTTGTAGACGTACACCCAGTGATTATCTTTTGAGACTTTCTATTTAAAGTGTATCCAGAGGTTCATGAGACATTTTATTAACAGACATAAAGGATTGACTCCATCAGGTAATGCCAACGCATTAAACAAACATCTCATTGTGACAAGGACTTATTCGACATGTATGTTTGGCCCGGTTCACACAGCTAGATATTTAAGTTACCAGACAACCTTAAAAAGATGAGAGACCACACAGGTGGAAGAAGATCAGAGATATCTGTGTCAGTTGTGTGGCGTGCAGCCTCACGGCAAGAACAACACAACACATATGAACCGATTTCACTCTCCAACATTCTCAGGTCAAATAGGAAATGTTGCAAAACCTATGGAAATCTGAGGAAATCAAACTAGAATTCAGAGTAAACAAACGTGGAGGACGGAGAGGAGGTGGAGTCCCCTCACTTTGTGTTGCATGCTTCAGTTCGCTCTGATTGGCTAGACATCACAATCAACATGCAGCACACTCCTTAGTCCTTGAAATCAGGCTACGTATGATCATTTGAAACCACGAATATCCCTGATTTGTGATCGATTTGGTCCCAATGTGCTTAAGGGCAGACCAGAACACCTAACAAATAGTAGCAGGGACGAAATTTTGATTTCAGAAGTGGGGGGGACACAGCAGGCTTGTGCGGATTTGGGGTGGGGGGTGTTATGTAAAGACCCCTTGACACGTCACGTGCCCATCTCAATAATTTTTCCATCCTCTCTCTATATATATATATATATATATATATATATATATCAAAGTTAAAAAATGTACATCTCTATTATTATTTTTATTTATTATCATTATTGAAGTGCAGTTTTGGCTGTTGACAATGGATAGGCCATTGTATTTATTGTTTTGGGTCTTTTTTATTGTTTTTGGTGCAACATTTTCTAACAGGGAGTGAGATTCCTTTTTTATTCAATTTTTGTTTGTTATTTTTATTCATTTAGAAGTTCTGGTTCTGGACATTTCAATGTTAAATTAAGGTTTATTTGTTGCATTTTAAAGGGTGTACTTGCATTATTATGATATATTAACATTATATTAGTGGTTATTTTGGTCTAGATAATGTTGACAATATCGTTTATCATCAACAATTTGTTGGACAAAATATCGTCCAGCAAAATTTGTTACATTCCCAGGCCTGGTCAAAAGTATAAAAATTATTTATACATAAACGGTCCCTCCTGAGATCTGGCCGTTTGTTCATTTGCTGTGTTCGAGGACATGCTGAACTAATGTTTTACACATGATCATCACCCTAACATTTGAGTGTATAAAAACATATTAAATATGTTTTTTCCCTTAAAAGTGTTTAAACAGTTGTTGCATTTCAACACGCAAAAAATAAATGGAAAAAATAAGATAAATCTAATGAAAAGTGTCCATCTTTGACATTAAGCTTAAAAAAATCTGTTGACGATGATGATACTGTTCATTTTTCAGAGCTTTTTAATGTGAAAATATACATTGCAATAGATAAGTTTACAATAAAGTTAAATGATAAAAGTTTTGAAGTTACACTTCTACTACTACTAGTAATAATAATTATGATGATAATAGTAATAATAAAAAAATAATTATTATAATAATACGAACAAATTGTGTCTGAGGAGTCAGTTATGTGGAGGAGATGAGTTTGTAAAAGTTAGTTTTGAGTTTGTGTGTGAAGGAGGAGGTGAGTCTGAGCTTAATGCAGGGGTGTCACATGTTCCAACTTACGTTTTGACTTTGAAAGAAGTCTCTTATATCTACTTTTCGTTTTCTTGACATGCTGCCTCCTGGCTGTGCCTAACTACCAAAGACTCACAAATGAACACTTATTCAAATGTTATGTAATGGAAGCTGAGCTGAGCTCTGATATTACACAGCGTCTAGT